GGCGGCGGCCGGAGGCCTGCGGGGTGCGATCCCGCCGGGGGGACCTGCTCCACATGCACTACACGGTACTGGGGGCACTGGTTTGAACTGGGAGGGACTGGGGGGGCTGGGGGAGGGCCTGGGTGTGCACACAAGGGTCTGCGGGGGACTGGGAGGCACTGGGAGGGGCCTGGGGGAAGTCCTGGGTGTGTACGGGAGGGCTTTGGGGTTACTGGTTTGTACTGGGAGAGGCTGGGGGAGGGCTTGGGTGTGCACATGAGGGTCTGGGGGGGACTGGTTTTTAGTGGATTATACTGGGAGGGGCTGGGGAAGGGCTGGCTGTGCACACATGGGTTTGGGGCTTACTGGTTTGGACTGGGAGGGACTGGGAGCTGTCCTGTGCATGTGTTGCATGGTATGGGGTATACTGGTTTGTATTGGGGGGGGCTAGCAGGGGGTATCTGGCTGTGCATAGGAGGCTTTGGGGCTTAGTGGTTTATACTGGGAACACCAGTTTCATGGGTGCTGGGAAGAGAGCAGCCTGGGAGAAAATCCTGACTATACTGGGAGCACTGGTTTGTACTGGTTTATACTGGTTTCAGGAGAAAGAGGGTGTTGTGGGAGAGCAGATTTATACTAGTTAATGGGGGGGGTTCGCTGCTTCTTACTGGTTTGTGGCGGGTTATGCTGGCCCATATTGGTCTGTACAGGTCTGTGCTGGTCTATACTGGTCACAGGGCCACCTGGAGGAAGAGGTTACTCTGGGTGGGACGGTTTCCACTGGCTAACGTGGGATTTTACTGCTTCTCCCTGGTTTGCTGTGGGTTGGGCTAGTCCGTACTGGTCCGTAGCGGTCCATACTGGTCCATACTGGTTTATACTGGTCGCAGGGGCACCTGGAGGACGGCTCCCAGTTTGACAGCAGCCTGAGCCGGGACCAGCCCTTCGTCTTCTCGCTGGGCACCGGCCAGGTCATCAAGGGCTGGGACCAGGGGCTGCTGGGGTAGGGACCCCGGCGGCGGCGGGGGGGGG